TCTCTCTCTCTCTCTCTCTCTCTCTCTCTCTGTTATCGTAAAACTTTTTTCTAAATGAAAAACAGTTTTAACAAAATAAGAGATAAAATATTTTTTTGGATACAATTTTTTCAAGCATTTTGAAGCCATAAATGAATTAATAGCAGAAAAAACTAACAAAAAAGTTAATTAAATTTGCATAAAATTTGTGTTGTTTTCAATGCGAAAGCAAAGGCTATTAATTAAATTGAAAATTTATTGCATTTTATAATCATATCATAATCACAAACTCATTTACCATGTGTTTCAGTCGCTAAATGCTAGGCTTATCTGTCGTACGGGTTGTCAATGTAGTGAAGCGCTATTTACAGCTGTTTTGACAGCAATACTAATGCAATTGAATGATTCAATTGTACACTTGGTATCAAAATATTTGCATTTAAACATTATATTAGGGAAACCGAAAAATGAGTCATGTAATATGCAGACTAAACAAAAACCATGAATTAGTCAGAAAATCATAAAAAATAATATTTAACTAATGCTTTAAAATAAACAAATAGTTGTAATAGTCATTATTGTGCTCAAAACTATGATAAAAGCATCCAAAAAGCATCCGAACGGTTTGCCTACATTATATATACAAGGATTATGTGTGGCATGAATATTAAGCTAGATTATAGTTTTGTTTTAACTAGTTTGACGATATCTAAACGCAAGTATTTTATCTCATTTATCATGTTCAGTACCAAAAAACAACAACACACTTCATAAAAATACTCATTTAATTAAACGAGATAGTTTTCTGTTTTGTTTAATTATTATCTTAAAAGCCAATTAATTATTCAAGTCATTCATTGAGATAAGTTTGTAGAAAATAACAATAAAAAGCAACTAATTAATTATCTATGAATTGCATGCAAATAATGATAACCCATTGGATAGCATGCAATTTAAACAGTTTGCATTAAGGTAAATAAAATTATGATTTTAACCATGTTAAAACGTGTACTATTGCTTAGCCTCCTCCTCCTCCCACAAAAAATAAAACATTTAATAAAATCAACTAAAACTAAAGATACAAAAATGCATCAAGATGATTTAATTAAATAACGAGTTACAAAAATAAGTAAATCACATGATAACTAACCGGTTTGTGATGCCATGCTTAAGGTGCAGACGCTGTGGACTGAACTCGGGCACAAACATATCGTAAACGAGGTCAAAATGGCCGTCAATTGGCTGCAGGTGTATAACATTGGGCTGATGTACGGACGCCGACAGTCGGACCACTTGCACTGTCTTACGGTTACGCCTCTGTTGCTGGCGAGAGGGGTACTGCCACTCGAACTCGGCCGAGTCGGCCGCACCCATACCCGGTCGGCCACCACTCGCTCGGCCAGCCTCTCGGCCCCACTCGAACTCACCAAAAGTGTCAGCACCGGCCGATTCGCCCGACTCCGAGCTCTCATCGCTGGCCGCACTCGAGCCGCCGTCGGCCGCCTTAATCGTGGGATTATTGCCGGCGCAGAGCACCCATATCTGGTGCTCGTCGGTACCGGCGCTGCCGGTAGTGGCCGTATTGCTCCGGACAGACCACAGCCGCCGTGGCTGGGGGTCGGTGGCGATCACCTGAACCACGTTTAACTGTTGGCCGTGAAACACCACCAGCCGGTTCAGATTGGGTTGCGCTACGTATACCCGGCCGTCGGCCACCAGCGCGTTGTCAGACCACTCGCATATCACCCGCTGGTCGGTGTCGGTGGCGCCGCATAGCGTCAGACCCGACTGGGGTATAATATCCCGGCCGTCCAACTCGTGTATCAGCCCCTGACAGCCGCCGGCGTATATCGACACACCGTTGCCGTGAAATACCCACAGCTTTTCCCGCGACTCGTCCGCCGCGTCGGCCGACACCTGTACCGCGTCGTCCTGTATGAGCAGTGATGACACGTCCTGACCGCTGGATTGGGTGCCCGTCGGGCCGTTAGGGGTGTCCGCGGGTCGTTTGTCGGTGACCCGGCACGAGTAGGCACCGGTGTCCGTGCGGGTGAGCTGTCCGATTTGCACCTTGGTCGCGTTGTTCATGATTACGGTGCGCGCGTTGGTGCCCAACAGTAGCTCTTCGTTTTTGTACCACTCGATAGACACCGTGTCCTCGAAGGACTCGTAGCGACAGTCGATTGTAGCCAACCCTCCGATCGGTTCCCATTGGAAACGTGGCGATACGGATACTAATGGGGGCACTGGTAGGGGGAGTGTAAAAATTGAATGAATTGGCTTGGTGCAATATTGAAAGTTGACTAGTTAAAAATATTATTTAATTGTGTAGTAATCAATTTCTACTTAAACCGACAATATAAACTAATGAACATGCATATTTTGTGTTTTAATTTTCATATATGATTTATTATATTTAACGCTAATATAGCACTTTACCATACATATAAATAGCGTATTAATTTTTATACCCTGTATATTTCACCATAATTTAAATTTTACAGTTTATAATAAAATAATTTCAACTATTGTAACTTGTCTAAAATTCCTTCTATGTAAACGTAAATAAAAATGTACTTGTTGTTCACAAATAGGGCTTTTATTGATTATAATTTAGAAATGGCATAGAATTTCAAAGAATTTAATCAATAAATGTAAAATGAGATATTTTTATATAATGCCATTTTTCTTACAATTATGTAAATTACAGACAACTGTCGATTTAATCAACTAAAACGCTGCACTTACCGATTGTATGGAGAATATGGACCTGTTTTACCAGCGGGTTGTTAACGGCCTGACACGTGTAGTTCCCGCTGAACGAGAGCTGAACATTGGTCAGGTATAGTGAGCCATCGCTAAACACCTAGGTGTACAAATAGTATAGTTAGATTTTTACTAAAATGGTTAATTAGTTATTATTTACCTTCATGTTAGGAATGTTTACGGTGTTGAGGTCTACATTGAACCTGGTCCATTTGATAGCCGGTGGCTGTGGTTCACCCATGATATCGCACCGGATCTCTACGTTGTCCCCAACGTGGGCCTCAACTACGTTCACCGCCAGTGACTGATCCAATGTTACCATAGTTACACCTTTCGGGTAATAATCGGGAGTTTAGGGTAACGCGAATGTTATGTTCATTAATAATGAAAATGTTTTAGAGTTAAACACGATGTTTTAAGAATATACTGTATTATTATTGCAATATTGCAATATATAAATATTTAATTTATTGCTGAAATAAATGATTGGTGAATGTAAAAAACTTTTTTTTTTTGTTAAACAGTATTGCATTAAAAAATATTTATTAATTATTCAAATTGATATCAAGTAATCTAAACTGGTATTATGCAACATGGATGTTTTAGTAATTATTTATTTATAAACTTATCGTGTTCTTAACTTTAATTATGTTTAGGTTAACTTTTTATTTATAATCCGAGTTAGAGTAATTTATTATGTATAAAAGACTAGTTGAGTTAAATTACTAATTCATGATGAATTCAAGTAAAAGCTTTTCAAAAGTTAAAACATGTATTAAATATTTAAAATCATACTATGGCAATTTAAATGCAAAATAATCAATTTTAATTAAGCCTGGTTTAAATATAACAATGTAATACAACCTAGATAAAATAATTGCACATTTTTAAAATGCCCAAGTTTATCATTAAAATATTTAAGCATGTTAAAAATTCTGTAACTACTAGGCTATTGGCTAAAAAAATATAATTGAAATTCTTGACAAAATAGAAAATGGTCAGATGATAACAATCTCACTTATTTCAGAAATGTGCTTTCTTATTTTTGTATGTTATTCTACCCTAATGAACAAGTGGTCTGTTTGTTACAGTATTTGTAGTTTGATTTGCAGTACATTATATGTTTTCATTGACTGTTTTTACGATAAGGCCATCACTTGTTATATAAAATTGACTTTTTGTTAGATTTATAACAATAGGCAGAGAGAGAGAGTGAGAGAAGGATATAATCCAAATAATATATTTGTATGATATATACTACTCTATACATAACTATATAGTATAAGTGGATACAGAATATATTAAAAAGTTTTATCCATATATTATATTACAGTAAGAGATATATAGAAAGAGAAAAACTAACAAAAAAAGTGAAAAGTGTGCTAAAAGTGCTCAAACAATGTACATGTTATGAACGAAAAATGGTAAATGTATTATGTTAAATATATGTGAACATGGATACAATTTCTACATATATAAAATCTCTATAGATTTACATAGATTTATACGTTACTATATAAGTATGTATAGGCATATATACCTTGTAAATGCCCGAGTGTTTCCATAATTCATTAATGTTGATCTCTCCGTCTCCGTCCTCATCCAGATGTGTAAACAAAAGCGATAAATCGTTGGCTGAGATTGCATTCAATTGTGCACAAAGTGATGGAAAACAAAGCAAAAAAGTTTTTTGTTATTTATTTTGATTATAAGATTTTTTCGTTGCGAGCATTAAGTTTTGTTTTTCACTGCAAACAACACATATGACAGCAAAACAAATATAAAAAGCGATGCAAAAAACAATGTAAATATCAATTCAATCCAATCGAGAATAGAGAGAGAGAGAGAGAGAGAGAAATTCCAGTAGAATATACTATAAATACATTGCATTTTATTTTTTATGTTTGAAAAACATATTGATTTCACTCAATCAAAAATTCACTATACAGTATATAATTTAATAGAGAAATAAGTTTAATGTTATTTATTTATACAATGCATTATTCTATCTACAGTATAATGCATTGTATTTATTAATAATATACCCTGGGTGGGATACAATCCCTCTGAATATTTGCATTATAATCATGTTATACAATATATTGTACGTATAAGTAGTGTACATAAAAAACGGCACTCACTGTATAGTTTGTTGAACGCGTTTTGAAATTCAGAAAAGTCAAGATTTTCATCATGATTGGTGTCTTCGTGTAACAATAGCTCAGTCAATAGACAGGCCGAGTCCTCGGGCTGTTAGGTATGCGAGAGAGAGAGAGAGAGAGAGAGAGAGAGAGAGAGAGAGATGTTAGCGGATGTTAAATGTTATAGTATTGTTGAATAGGCACGGAATCCACTCCCGAAATGAATAGTATATATAAATTATATATAAGTATTGAAAGAGAAATATATTTAATGTATAGCAAAAAATGTAAGAATTGTTGTAAGAATTTTTGGGATATGTTTTATTTTCCCTTTGAGTTCACAGAATATTCTGTGATTTTTGTGATGTTTTTTGTTTGTTATTTTATTTTGAGTGAACGTTATATACATTTTTGTTTGTTTGCCGTGCATTATATTCCTGTTACAAATGTTATACACATTTGTATTACATGTGAGATATATGTATTGAATTAAATGCTAGAAATTTTGGTACAGAATATAATAAATCGTAAGCGAAATAATAAGGGAAATAGACTTTTCAGTTCCCTTTCCTTAATAAATAACTTGTTTCCAGAATTTTTGTGCCAAAAATATATATTTATTATGTTTTTTGTGGCAAATATTTGTTAGACTACAGTTAACTCGTGTTATAAAGTACGCTTAATGTAGCTGAAAATCATATTAATGTAGATTAATTAATATGTTTAATATTCATGAGCGTATTAGCCAAATTAATAAATATATATGCAATATCATTAATCTAAATTACTCCTAATGAACCATCATTAATAATAAAACTTCTGGATATAATCCAAATAATATATTTGTATGATATATACTACTCTATACATAACTATATAGTATAAGTGGATACAGAATATATTAAAAAGTTTTATCCATATATTATATTACAGTAAGAGATATATAGACAGAGAAAAACTAACAAAAAAAAGTGAAAAGTGTGCTAAAAGTGCTCAAACAATGAACAAAAAATGGTAAATGTATTATGTTAAATATATGTGAACATGGATACAATTTCTACATATATAAAATCTCTATAGATTTACATAGATTTATTCGTTACTATACAAGTATGTATAGGCATATATACCTTGTAAATGCCCGAGTGTTTCCATAATTCATTAATGTTGATCTCTCCGTCTCCGTCCTCATCCAGATGTGTAAACAAAAGCGATAAATCGTTGGCTGAGATTGGATTCAATTGTGCAAAAAGTGATGGAAAACAAAGCAAAAAAGTTTTTTGTTATTTATTTTGATTATAAGATTTTTTCGTTGCGAACATTAAGTTTTGTTTTTCACTGCAAACAACACATATGACAGCAAAACAAATATAAAAAAGCGATGCAAAAAACAATGTAAATATCAATTCAATCGAGAATAGAGAGAGAGAGAGAGAGAGAGAGAGAGA